TCAAACAGTGCTCACCACGAACGTTCATGGCATCATGAATGAAGTGTTCTCAGTACAAAAGGGGTGGTAAAGAACGACGTGAAGAGGGGGTTGAACGTTTGCAATCGGTGCACATTTTGTTGAGCGTGGGACGATATTTTCGGGGGCCATAGATCAGTATGCAGGTAGGACGCACATGAATCTGGGTAAACAGGGATCCCATTGAACGTTTTCGCTCTTTACTGTGCAAGATACTATCCACATAGCAACATGGCATCTTAAATTGATACTCGAACATATTAAATTGATTTTCGGACATCTTAAACTCAAAAAGGTATAGTTTTAATAGTAGCAATAATACGGTTTTCACGTGCGGCGTCCGGAGTTCAACTCATGGACGGTGGTGGATATACCGGATTGATAAGCGACAATAGGACAAATCGAGTTTGTAATTCTCAGGTGACCAGGTTAATTGAAGAATCTGTATGAGGACAAGGTCATTCAAAATCAAGATACACTTTTATGCATCGCTGGCTAGAAGCTGTGAACTTATGTGATATATCACTTCAATAATAATGGAGGATTTGATTAAAATTCAACTGATAAATCTTCGTGTATATAGAAAAATGAAGCCTGAACTGAAGAGCTAGGAAGCACTGGACACCTGTTTCGATCCGGTTGGGTCTCAGCAGCGATGCTAATCCATCAACCCAACAGGGGATCGAACTTGGGACTTCATGGGCAGAACGCAAGCATGCTAACCACTCGGTCGCTGGGCAGCTGATCAGACCGTTTTTCATTTTCCATTTACACGGAATAACACAACCCATCTTTGCCAGCACGTTGCGGGCCACAAACCCTGCTTATCTCAGCACTAGCCTCCAGGGTTATGACTCGGTTAGAAACATTCATAACGTGACAACTCACATGAAATAAGTAGTCATGTTGTGAACGTTTCCCACCGAGGCTCGTGCTGAGACGAGCAGGGTCATTGACCAGCAGCAAGCTCGCAAAGATGGGTTGTGTTATTTCGTGTAAATAGAAAATGAAAAACGGTCTGATCAGCTGCCCAGCGACCGAGTGGTTAGCATGCTTGCGTTCTGCCCATGAAGTCCCAGGTTCGATCCCCTGTTGGATCGATGGATTAGCATCGCTGCTGAGACCCAACCAGGTCGATACAGCTGTCCGGTGCTTCCTAGTTCTTTATTTCACGCTTCATTTGGTAAATATACGACGAATTCTCATTTGTAATCATGTGATGTCATCTAGAGCTCTACGGTTAATTTTATTCTGACGGAAATTTGCAGGCAATGCCATGTTCTACCTAGAATACTTCATGTCGATTCAATGGGATAGTGTTTCGGCGGAACCCGGAAAGTGTTTTGGATGATGTGATTCAGAGAATGGATGAAATATCGGTTGTTTGTGGACACTGATCGGCTCTGTACAGACAAAATACAGCAAAACCGGAATTGAGAAGCTACACTACGGATTCATTGGGCAACAAGTATTTATTTATTTTCATTTTGTAGGACAGACAAACCGTAGAAACGCAAGTGAAAAAGTTTGAGATATGAATGAGTCGAATAAGCCATTTTGTAGTTTAATCGCCTGACTAACGATAGTCGTGGAAGGCTCAGCATTTAGATCTTAGGCGAAAACAGACTCAGATTGGACGAATGATTGATTATGGTACAAGCATTCTCAACAGTGTTAAGTGAGGCAAATGTTCCTTTGGTGGCGAGTGCTACGAAAGTTCACCGAGGAGGGAGGGTGAATCGGATTTATATTATTTGAAGGTTTTACTAGGTTTTCTCACTATGCGTGCATAGCACGGTAGTGAATCCCAGTGATTGGTCGGTCAACCAGTTTATAGTGGCTTGTCAGTCGCAGTATCTCCAGAATATTTGGAAGTAAGTTGAATATGAGGCAGTCTAAGATCAGATCAAGCTGATGAGAATAGGGACAGAGTAAATGCACGAAACCTGTTAGAGGTCTATCATGATTAAGCTATGAATTGATCCCCACTACTAATCGACCTGTGTTGTTTATTGGAGATGGCTCCGGCTTTCCATTTGTTTCGGTTTCGTGTGAATATCCTGCATGATAAAAATTGTATAAGTATTTCTCATTCCATCGTCGTCGCTTGGGGCATATGGGAATCTCCACAGTTTTAAGTTGACCACTTTGTTGCTACTTTTCATTTCAGCATATCATTTATACAGGGAAGAAGTCGTAGTTTGTTGAATCAGAGCTGTGCTCTTCAGTAACTTTTAGCTATGTTTTAGAGCAGTCAGTCAGTCAGCAGCAGCTGTATGCACCCGGATGGGTGTATTTTCAGCAATTACACCATATTTTGGATTCAAATTTACAAAATCGTACATAGTGAACACAATGAAAGCAGTAGATATTGTGTT